GCGAGATGTTACCACACTAATTTTGTTGTATATAGTATAGACCATAAGTATAGCCNCAAGACTAACCTTTTCAAAAACCCAATAAGCAGCATCACTCAAATCAACAAAATTCAAGACCTTATCTTAAACGTTACACCTAATGGCATTGACTGCCTCGCACAACTTTGAGCATGCCATAGGATTGGTGATAAGTTCATTGTTAGCCTAACATCAAATTACAGGATGACAATTGCATTGAAAGTTCATGACTTTGGCCATAACAACTTAACAACCAATGAAATTGCTGGTAGCTTTCAAGAAAATGGTGGAGAAAACTTTCATTATTCACTTTACACTGATCAATCTGGTTAGCAAAAGATAAACATAACAAGTGTTGACATTAATGGACTTTTAGTGTGGATATGTTGTTCTATGCATGAAGTGCTCATGGAATTTGACCATAAATTCTCTCTTCACTGTGCAGACCTATCTGCGAATGACTTGGCGTTAATGGCCAAGTAGACGGAAAGGTTAGCGTAGTTCATGGTCATTATAACAATAGTCAAAAATATGTACAGGTTACTAAACAAAATTGAAGAAGATAATTGATATTGTTTTTGACATTTTCCTTGTAACTACAAAATTATTGTTCTTGCAAACTATTCTTTAAATTTTCCGTTACACATACTTAAAAAAAAAAGAAGCAGATCCTGCAGAAACATGGGACCTTTTTTGAGAGTCCATTTTAGTTGACTAGAACGTTGCCTTGCTGAAAAAAATCTTTTAGGTAACATCTTTGTTTTTCAGCTTTACAGATTTTTGGCAAGACGAACCAGTGCTGGCTTTAATAAAGTAGTTTTAAGACGCTTATTCATGAGTCGCATGCACAGACCACCAATTGCTTTATCAAGATTGGTAAGTAAACCTGGATACAATCATGTAAGAGATACTTATATTTTCCTGGCAATACCTGCTAATGCAGATCTTCAAATCAAATCTGGATATGAGTGTCTAGTTAATTCGGTTTTGTACTCTTCAGAATGTGCAATTCAGAGCTCACAGAAAAGTTATATCAAAATTTCTCTCATGGATGTTAATGCCAATATAAGCTTTCATCCATTCTTAATTGTCATGTATGATTACAGGTGAAATATGCTACTAAGCCAGGCCGTGAAGGAAGAATAGCTGTAGTTGTTGGTACAATAACTGATGATGTTAGATTAATGTCTTGTCCTAAATTAACAGTAAGTTTATTCTAGTATATCTTTATTTTGTAGATAGTAGATATAAGTTTTTCAATTGATATTTAGGCATATTCAATGCCAGTTTGAACATTGTGAACTTAATTTATGAACTTAATTTAAACTTAAATTCTAGTTTTTGTGATTACATGATACATCAAGAAATTATTATACAGCAACCAGATGGATGTCACAATAGGTGCTAAACCTGTTTTACTTTGTCCCTCCCTGATTCAAATCAGATAAATGACAGATTACAATAAATTCCTTATATTCAATAAACTCAAAACTCAATTATTTAATCCACTAGGTCTGTGCATTAAGAGTAACCGAAAGAGCCAGAGCTAGGATATTGAAAGCAGGTGGTGAAATTTTAACATTTGATCAACTTGCTCTCAGAGCACCAAAAGGACAGAATACAGTTTTAGTCCAAGGTAAGTTCAACTGGTAAAAAAAAAAAAGTCCTGTCTACAATAAGCTAAGAATTGAATTTTTTCTCTCATTTCACAAATATTCTAAAATTTCCAACTGCACCACTATAAAACTTAAACTTTCAAGAAAGTCCATGTGTAAATGACACACTTTTGGACTGAAAATACTCATCTTTTCCAGAGGTTAATCAAAGGCAAGAATTTCAATAGAATTTTGTAGCCTATATTTCAATTCATATGAAAAGGATTGGCAAAATTCTACAAACATTGTAGATAGTTTATCTCACTGTTCAGAGGTTTGTTGCTAACACCGTGTTGGCTGGTCTTTTCTATAGAACGTCATTAATGCAAAAAGCCAGTTCACAGATTTTGAATTAGTTTGCGAATTTGTCAAGCAGTTTAAAGATTCTAATCTAAATTCGAAGAAACTAAAACCAAATCGCGCATTAATACCAACTCTCAAATTTACGCCTTTTCGTGGAAGTTATGCCGACACCTTACACCAGGTAGCGTGCAATGTGTAAAGTTTATTGATCTATAAATAGAATATTGAAAAATTTTTGAACTTATTAATGGAATTGTTGATATTATTCTATTTATAGCTCTATGAACTTTGACAGATTTTCCACGAAATGGCGAAAAATTTGCAAGTTGGTTTAATTCGTGCCACAAGGTGTTAGTTGCCGGCATAACCATATTTTCCACGAAACGGTGTTAATTTGCGAGTTGGTATTAATTCGCGCCATTTAAGTGGATGCATTTGGACATAAACCATTATCTTAAGATATTGGGTGCTTTTGAAATTTGGTACATTTTATTTTTTTGCAGATTTTCATGAAACTTGGCTAGCTTCTTATTTCATTTACCACATAGTGAAAAATATTAGCACATTTGATGTAGTCTATTATCTTATAGGCTTGTTTAGATAAGATATATGAAAAATAAGTTATTTCATTAAAAAGTCTTCATCTTAATTTTTATTTTCAGGTATCAGACAAGCCCGGGGTGCCAACAGACATTTTGGTCTTGCTCCTGGTGTACCTGGCAGTAACACAAAGCCTTTAGTGAGAGCTAAGGGAAGAAAATTCGAGAAAGCCCGTGGTAAACGAAACAGCCG